TGAAAGCTTCTTATCTGTGTTAGACCACTCGTCTTTAATTAATTCCTTAATAGTATCATGTACTGGAAAGGTAGCTCTTTTCTTTCTCAAGTCTGAGAAATAACAATAAGAGGTTGACTGCTCTGCAACTGCCTCCTTCAAGCTCAAAGATTTACGGACTTTGTAAATGAGGTGGTCTATCTGAGCAGGTTCTAAAAAATCTGCAGGGGCCTGAGTTTCTTCTTCATCTGAAGATAAGAAATTCCCCTGGTATGATTCCATATCCATGGATTCATCTGACGAATCATTAACCGAAGGTTCATGTAACCGGGGTCTTTTGTGACTTGCCCCCGCTTCTTTGATACCTTGAGCCACCGCTTGTTTTATGAACTGTACAAATTCCATTGAAGGATTAGATGTTCCAGCCGCTTCAGATAAACATTCTGCACATAACCGTTTGCCTTCCAGCGGTTTATTGTTACAGGCTTCGCATTGATTTTTCTTTGGAGATTTTCCTTTGGATGATCTCACTGTTTTCTTTCCCGTAGAACTATCATGATAGGGAAATATCTCATATTAGCACTCTTTTATTTCATGTATCATATTCCGGTAAAGGAAAAAAAAAAAAAAATGATGTGATATGGCTTACCTATAACTCTTAGAGTGTGACCTATTTTTATATCCAGAAGAGTCTGAATCAGAAGAAATTGATCTCCTTTTGTCTTTTTCCATTTTGGAGTTGATTATGAACAGTCTAAAAAAGGAATTCTTATTGTTATAGAAAGAAAGGAGTAAAGAAATGAAAAAATGTGTATATACCTTTAAGAAGTAAAGCTTACCTTCTTAGATTTTCCAGTAAAATATAAACGCAATTCAAATTGAGAACTGTAAGAAAACAGGTCCTCTAAAGACCTAATGAGGACATCAGGTAATAATTTAATCCAACTTTGGCGCTTAAATAGGCGTGTGACGTCATATCTGACGTCACCGCCTATCCGCGCATGCTCAAAACGAGCGAATTCATCGCTCGTTAACTGCGCATGCGCGGCACAAACCCGGAAGCCACTCCGGAGTAGGAGGCACTGTAACTGCCTCATGGGGACCAGACGCATGCGCAGTGTATAGCGTGCGCGCGGACCCGGCGTGCACGCGAATGAAGCTAGCGTGCACGCGATACAAACGTGCACGCGCGAAACGGCGCGCATGCGCACCCGGACAAACAGGACGCCGAGAAGGCGTGAAAGAAAAAGTACACAGAAATAATAGGCAGGGGGGGGGAAAAACCCACACATATGATTTAACAAATACAGTATATATATGGTAAAAAGTATTTGTACATACATACATGTGGGCTGTTGTAAAATGCAGAAATCCATCCAGGATAAAGTCTTCTTGCCACTTCCTGCTACCTCTTGGTCACTGCAGGGAATCAGAGTTATTTGGCATTTTTCTCTTGCTACCCCTAGGGTCACTGCAAGTAAAACCCCCGGTCACTAAGGGGGTATCTTCAGGGGGACACCTTTGCACAGGGCCGGATACTGAAGCTTCCCAAGGAAGAGAGGCTGAACTTCCTTGAGGACAGAAGGTAAAAACCCTCAGGTAAGCCATAAAAGAAAAGTGGTTATAGTCCTGAAAATAGACTAATTTGGTCCTATAGGGATAGGACAGGAACAAAAAGACTGAGGGAGGAGGAGGTAGGAGGGGGTATTTGTACCCTTATTTTAATTAGTTCCTGTCTAACTAGGGATAGGGGAGGAGCTACCCATTGTTGTGCTGCCATGGATATGGCCAGGAAAAGGAATATTTTTAATTCACAATAGGCAGGTTTTTCCCTCAAAAAAATTTGAATGGGAGGATACCCTTAATGGAAGTTCTAATACTTTTTAAAACTTAAGTACTATGTTTCTATAATGTAACTGTTTTCTGCAGGTGGAATCATCTTCAGAGGACCCAGCGTAAAGACAGCATGATAATTTCGTTTTAAAGTATACTCTTGGATAGAGAAAATCCTATGTATTTAGAATCATTTAGACTCTAAACAACTTATGGACCATTTCAGAGTCCTTTCTCAATAGATCTTCACAGCCATCCAATTCAAAAGACAATTGTCATAATGTGGCTATAAGAGTACTTTACAATGGTTACATAGATAATGTCTTTGCCAGCAAGACCTTATTTTTGCGTTGAGGATGAAATTGCTGATCACAGGCTACCAAGAAGGCACAGTGGCCAAGTGGTAAGGCGTTGGTCTTGTAAACCAAAGATCATGTGTTCAATCCCCATCTTTGCCTATGCAAGTTGGAAAAAATTTGTCCATTGTAATTAATTCAGCAACACCTCAATTATGCATACTTTATACAGGTCTATTAACTGAAAGTTTTCCGTCCAACAAACTAAAATGGGAAAAGATTACTTAATCACAGGCTGAACATTTAAACTAAGTGACACTATGACAAAGTTGTATTGAAATTTTCATTATTAATGGTCAATTTTTATAATTATTCTAATTTGTGACTTTTTAAATCTCTCTGGCAATCAGATTTTGATTCCCTTCTATGGTATTTCACATTTCTGGTTTAACAAAACTCATAACGGACTAATCTATCATTTTCTTTTTTAGGCAAGATGCATACAAATAAAAAAATAAAGTCTTGTTTTTTTTTTTTAAATATTGCAGAAGAAACAGGACAGTAAACAGACATTTACATGGCATTTTTGAACAATTTTCGGGAGGCCTGATCATTAAAAGGGCTGTGCAAAAATATCTCAAAGGTCATATTTGAAAACGTGGTGAAGGAATGGTCCATCTGGAGGAGCAGACAAAGGTTCTTTCATCAAAAACCCAATGAAGAAGACACATTTCTCGATAATGTACACTATCAAAATCAATAGATACAGCTGAGGATTGTATGGGTGAAATATGTCTTTGTTTGCTTATTTAAAAAAAAAAGTTTAGTGGACAAAATCAAATGTTTTGTCTTCCATATATTATTAATGGTTCGATTGTTAGGGACATTTGTCAATGTTTTTTGGATTCAAAAAGAAGAACTGTCCCTTGCATATGAAGAAAAAGGAATATTTTTAATTCACAATAGGCAGGTTTTTCCATCTTGTGAATGGGACGATACCCTTAATGGAAGTTCTAATACTTTTTAAAACTTAAGTACTATGTTTCTATAATGTAACTGTTTTCTGCAGGTGGAATCATCTTCAGAGGACCCAGCGTAAAGACAGCATGCTAATTTCGTTTTAAAGTATACTCTTGGATAGAGAAAATCCTATGTATTTAGAATCATTTAGACTCTAAACAACTTATGGACCATTTCAGAGTCCTTTCTCAGTAGATCTTCACAGCCATCCAATTCAAAAGACAATTGTCATAATGTGGCTATAAGAGTACTTTACGATGGTTACACAGATAATGTCTTTGCCAGCAAGACCTTATTTTTGTGTTGAGGATGAAATAGCTGATCACAGCCTACCACGAAGGCGCAGCGGCCAAGTGGTAAGGTGTTGGTCTCGTAAACCAAAGATCATGAGTTCAATCCCCATCTGTGCATATGCAATTTGGAAAAAATGTGTCAATTGAAATTAATTCAGCAGCACCTCAATTATGCACATTTTATACAAAATCAAAGAGTTCTTCACAGGTCTATTAACTGAAAGTTTTCCGTCCAACAAACTAAAATGGGAAAAGATTACTTAATCACAGGCTGAAAATTTAAACTAACTGACACTATGACAAAGTTGTAATTGAAATTCACATTATTAATGATTAATTTTAATAATTATTCTAATTTGTGACTTTTTTAATCTCTCTGGCAATCAGATTTTGATTCCCTTCTTTGGTATTTCACATTTCTGGTTTAACAAAACTCATAACGGACTAATCTATCATTTTCTTTTTTAGGCAAGATGCATACAAATAAAGAAATAAAGTCTTGTTTTTTTTTTTTTAAATATTGCAGAAGAAACAGGACAGTAAACAGACATTTACATGGCATTTTTGAACATTTTTCTGGAGGCCTGATCATTAAAAGGGCTGTGCAAAAATATCTCAAAGGTCATATTTGAAAACGTGGTGAAGGAATGGTCCATCTGGAGGAGCAGACAAAGGTTCTTTCATCAAAAACCCAATGAAGAAGACACATTTCTCGATAATGTACACTATCAAAATCAATAGATACAGCTGAGGATTGTATGGGTGAAATATGTCTTTGTTTGCTTATTTTTTTAAAAAAAAGTTTTTTTCCCATATATATACTTTATTGAAAAAAAATTTTCACAATACATTAATATATTCCTCATTAAATACATTTGTACAAAAAAAGGAAGAAATGAATGAATAAATAGTACAAAATATTTAACATTTATCTAACAGAGATGGTATAAATTCATCATCGTAACTCATTTGTCAAGTTTAAGATCCTATATCCGGTCATAGCTTCTTTCTAGTAGATGTCGGTCGATTCATCTCAAGCATAACATAACAACACTAACAAACATTAAACACTAATGGTCATATTACAGTCAATTTAGAAACTAGCAGGATCCCTAAAGAAGCTCATCATAGAGAGTTATAAGGTATCACAATTACCCAACTGCAACTGCTACTTAGAAGTCTTCCGCCTAAAGACCTATGATAAGGGGCAAGAAATTTAGCTATTCCCTATCTTATTTAGCCACAAGTCATATCTATCTTGTTGGCCTCTAACAAGACCACTTTCCATTTTCAGTTGGAATTTCAGTTGTTCTTTGACTACTGGCCAAATTGGGGCTATAGTCGACCTCCAATACCTTGCAATAACTATCTTAGCAGCCATCAAAATGTGAATTACAAAGGTGGCTAAATTATCGCATGCTTGTCTAATATCCAATTGAAGAAGAAATGTTTGGGGAGAGAAAGTCAGATCCACCAAGGTCAAATTTTTTATCTTATATAGTATAATCTTCCAGAATAACTGAATAGGTCCACAGTCCCACCAGATATGTAGATAATTCCCACTTTCCATAGTACATCTCCAGAATTTAGGATCATGACCATTAGTAAATGTATTTATGCTATTGGGACCCATATACCATCTATTTACAATTTTAAAATGGCACTCTACCAAATTAAGACAGTGAACATTTTATATACTAGGGTTATTAAAGTTTCCCTCCATTGTTTGCAACTGATTTGGAATCCAAGGTCCATCTGCCATTTATTAATAATAGCTTCTAGAGGTGTATCTGGATCCCTCGATAAGAACTGTAGACCTGCAGCAATTAATTTTTTTGACGAGTGTTTGCTAAGTATTTTTTCCAGCCAAATTATATGATTCGATTTTTCTTTGGAGACATATTCCTGACAGAAATCTTTTAGCCTTAAATAGTTAAAGATTTCCTTTCCCTCCAATCTATATTTCAAACTTAGAGATTGAAAATCCATCCATGAGTTATTATCTATAAGTTATCTATTCGTATCAGCCCATTTTCTAACCATTTATCCAATTTTATATTTAGCATGTAATATGCCGATGAGCTAAAGGTAGGCAAGATATTAACTTATTATGCAAATGGATTATTTTCAGAGTGGCGCTATAGGAGGTATATATTAATGAGCTGCCATATTTTGGTTTAATTATCCAAAATAAGTGACTCAAATATGTTAGAGGCCCTTCAGATTGAGTTAAATCCTGTTCAATTTTGTACCAAACTTCCTCGTTAGCATTCTTTAGCTGAGTGATAATCGCTGTAGCGGATGGCATTGGGCTGTCTCCAGAATTATGTATATTTGCATGTTTTTCGGTTTAATTTTGCCCTGTGTATGTTGCATTCGTCTGATTGTTCGGTAAAATCACTCCAGTTATTATGCGAGTGAAACTACCGAACAATCAGTAAGTAAGTGTGCCTCCAAATACCGTTCGCAACAATGTTGCAAACGGGTAATTGGCAATTCGTGCAGTATGTACTTTGTCCTCTGGGTGGCCGCCATTCGGGAGACGAACACGTGGCGGCGGCCATCTTAAACTCCCGAACAGCGGTGTTTTGCCGTCGAGTGTCTGGAACCCAAATCGGACACTCGGTTAGGCAAACACCGCTGAGACCTCCACACTGCCGCCAATTCGTGTAAAAACTACCGAACAGCTTCCCGTTCGGTAGAAAGAACCCCACGAACAAGGGGATTTACCTGAATCCTCCCCAGCTCTCATAACCCAAGCCATTCGTGGGTTTCATTCCCTTTTCTGTGACCGACCGCAGGGCCAAAATGTATGGAACCCTTTTCGGCTGTTAACCCCAGCGCGGTCGGTCGTTTTAGTACCTCCAGGAATTTCCCGAACCCCTGGTCCGATCTGGGTGATTTTTGGATATGTGTCTCACCCAGATCAGGGTTACCAGGGGATGTAATATTTAAAGGGGTACTCCAAGGTTTAGGGGTACATCCAGAAAACAAGGGGAACTGTGCCCTGCATAATGGGATTATATGTCATCCTAAAGGGAAGGGGATGTGTGGGTGGCAACTCGTGTATGATTGGAGTATTGTGTAATTACTGTAAATCCCTCCCTTGCATGAGAGAATGCTTTAAAAGAAGGTTGTGTGATTAAAAGTTCAGTTCTGCTCCTGATGCTGTGTGTCGTCCAGTCATTGGGATTGATGTTGGGATATTATTGGATTGTCTTGCCTGCTGAAATTATTGCCTTATGGATTTTTAATACTTGTTCCTGAGCCTCACTGGGATCTTGAGTGGAGATTACCTGTGGAATATCATCTCTCTGCTACAACCGCGTGTGACAAACTGCAGGCTTTTTGGTAATCTTTTAGGATGGGAACCCCCAATCCTCCTAATTTAACTTTCAAAGATAAGCGCTTCCAATTTATTCTTGGAGTTTTCCCTAGCCATATATATTTATTAATAAGGGATTGTGCTAATGTCACCCAGTTATCTGGACAGGGCAAGGCTACCATTCAAAAAAGATACACCCATTTTGGAATAATATAGGACTTAACTACATTAATACGCACCCACCAGGAGATTTCTAAGTTTTTACATTCTTTTACTTTTTTGGCTGTGTATTTAAGAAGTGGTAGAAAATTAAGTTCCATTATTTTACTTACATGATTTGCAATTTCAGTCCCTAAATAATTAATTGATAAATCTGCCCATCTAAATCCAAAACGCTTTTTCAAGGCCTCAACGGTCACCTGGGTTATATTAATAGGTAAAGCTATTGATTTATTGATATTTAACTTATAGCCCGAATAAACTGAGTATTCTTCCATACAGGGTAGTAGGGCATTAAAAGAGTTCAAAGAGTCTCCTAGGGTTAATATTGTCACATTTTTCAAAAGGAAATAGTCTGAAGTGATGCCTGCACTGGCTGTGGGAGCCGAGTATAAAGCCATTATCGCCCTTTTTATATTATCTGATAACCCAAAGCCTTCCAAGTAGCGTCTAAGAAATCCCACCTGACCCTGTCAAACGCTTTCTCGACGTCAAGTGACAGGATTAGGAGGGAAGACTTCCTTATTTGGACCCAATCTACCACATCAACCAGACGTCTAACATTATAAACTGATGACCACTTAGAAATAAAGCCAACTTGATCTCGGTGAATTATATCTGTTATAACATTACTTAATCTGTCTGCAATTATTGATGAGTATAATTTTATATCACCGTTTAGTAGAGAAATGGGTCTATAGTTGGCTATCAGGTCTGGGGATTTTTGTTGTTTAAGAATTGGTACTATATGCGCCTTTAACATTTTATCAGGTATCTTCCCATTTGTCATAAAATCGTTAAAGGTATTAGTTAGATTGTCTTCTTTTATTACATTCAGTAATTTATATAAAATATTACTGAAGCCATCTGGGCCTGGGGATTTATGCAGTTTTAATTTTTTTAATTGCTATGTTAACCTCATCTATTGATATGGGCTCATTCAATTTCCCAAGTTGAAGGTTAGCTATTTTTGGTAAATGTAATTTTTCAAGGTAATTTTGTATATTTGTTGGTACCTGTCTATCGGGAAGGTTACATAGATTATAATAAAATTGTTGGAAGGCTTGGCCTATCCTGGTTGGGTCCAAGAGAGTCACGTCCCCCTGAATTATCTTAGCTACCTTCTTTTTAACTGTTTCTTTTTTTAATCTGTTAGATAATAATCTATCTGCCCTATTGCCTTTATAGTACCACGTTCTTCTCAATCTTTTTTCAGGGAAACATTAGCTTTCTGAATCAAGAGATCGTTTATTTTATCTTTAATTATTTTCAATCTACAACTCAATTCTAAACTGGGGTTATTTTTGTTAGCATATTCCGCTTCCTCCATTTCTATGTATAATTGCGCTAAAGTTTTCGAACTCTTCATTTTCTCTTGGTACCCCATTTTGATTAAGTGGCCCTGTATTGTACACTTATAGGCACACCAAATTAATGGAAAAGCTACATCATCCTTACAATTTTCTTTAAACAAGAAGTCTGTCATTAGTTTTATTTGATTTAAATATGAACTGTTGTTTAACAAACACTCATTTAACCACCAATTAGACCTATCCCTAGTCATATCCTCTGTAATAGAAGTAATTATTGCGTTATGATTTGACCATGCTATATTCATAATAAATATTTGTGGCAAAACTAGCCACTGGAGACTATCAATGTATGAGTATGTTTGTATTCTTTCTAAAGCTGTAGAGACAAGTGTAGGATTGTAATTGCATTTCAGGCAAATGAGGGCATTCGTATGCTGGCGGCATGAAAACCCCAGCATTCATACTTTAGTTTCACAAACAGTGAGTTTCAACACTGTACGTGAAATGAATAACCTACTGAATGGACGACCACACACAGGAGGTCGTGTGGTGCCCATTAACCGAGTGTGTTCCTAGGTGGCCGTCGTTTGACTACCGACCAAGCGGCGGTCGTCCATCTTGGTTCCTTTGTTAGCCCAGCTGGGGTTTGGTCGTCGAGCGCCTGGAACCAAAATCGGCTACTCAATGGCGCAAACCCCGCTGGACTTCCAGGATGTTCGGGAGTCCCGGCCATTCGGTAGGTTGTTCCCCTGATGTCAATCGGTACTTTGAGTAGAACTTGAATTTAATGTGTGTTTCGTGCGGCGTTCGATTAGTTAGGCTGGGATCTGAGCAGTATTCTCACCTCACGAACTGTGCGCACAGACCCCAGCTATCTACTGAACGTCCATTCGTTTAAATGAAGGGAATATTATGGGAATTATGTATTTTAATGTGAAATGTAAGTTCTGCTGCACCAGGGGATAATCCACTTAGCTGTATATTCTAGTGGGAGTATCCCTCTCGTGCAGCAGTGCATGGTGGGAAAAATTTATGTATTGTTCAGTTCCCCATGTAGTCCCCTACTGTGCCACCCCTGGAATGTCAGTAGGGAAACCCCTTGCATGGGGAATCCCATAAATACTGTGCCTGTAATTAAAACCTCAGTTGACCTCCAAGCTATGTGTCATCTAGTTCTTGGGAGGAAGGGATTGTAACTACGCTACCTGCATTTTATCTGTTTTGGATCAGATTATCCTGTCTACCAGCGGAGATACCATGGATAATACTACTACTCTGCTACAATTGGTGGCAAGCGACGGGATTTTAACCACATGGCAAAGCAGTGTTCGGCAGGAATTAAAACGAACAGAAGGAAAGAAACAGCAATTCGTGAGTACAACCATTCGGATGAAACAGGAGTTCGGGAATACGTGGAAACGCACAAACAAATGGTGAATGGAAACGAATTATACACTTTTGAAATGCAGCACATTAAAGTTGTTACTAGAGGTGAGAGGAACAATAGCCAGCAACAAGGCAAAGGCTGTTCTAATTGCGGAGCTTATAGAAGGAGACAGAGCAGCAGCTGCTGCAGCGCCTCCAATGAGGAAGGAGCCAACAGAATTTGAAATAGAATTCAAGAGCAGGATAGCCCTGTACCCAACCACACCACCCCAGGAGACTTTCGACAAGATCATGGCAGATGTACAAGATCAGGCCACACGATCAAGTACCCCTGCTGGCTGGTAAATTATCTGGCCGCGCAGCGGAAGCTTACAGAGCCATGCCTGATGAGGACAGCAGAGACTACCAAAAAGTAAAGCAAGCCATCCTAGCCCGGTATGCCATTACTCTTGAGGCCTACTGACTCCAATTCCGGGACCTGAAAAAACAGGAGAAGGACTCTCATGCTGAGTTTGCACATCGCCTACAAAGAGCAGCCACCGGGTGGATTGAGGCAGCACAAGCAACCACTAAGCAGGATATCATGCAGCTACTGCTATTAGAACAATTTTACCG